GGAGCCTTTGTGTTTTAAGCATGATGGGACTAGGAAAGATTTCATTCTGCTTATTAGAAGCATTCTCAGGTCCAGAACCCAGCAGATGCCATGTGGAGAAAACTGGTTGTGTTTTTAAGGCCACCTGTGTTCTAATTTGTCATTCTAGTACCATCTGGCCACTAAAAGCTTTGCTGGTTTCTCTTTCTTCCATTAGAGGGCTTCTTTCTGGCAAAGCTTGATCATTGGCCAGAACCCCAAACTGGCACATGTCCTGGGGGAGGGGAGAGGAACGACTGGAGAACCTCATCTCCTTTCATTGCAGTAGGAGCGCTGACCTGCCAGAACCTACTACATCCTGCCCCGAAGAGAAAATGCCCTAAGCTTTTAAAAATAAAAATTTTTTTCTTTTTAAACTTTCATCTATCGCATGTATTTAAAAATCTTAGAGTTGACTTTCTTTTCTTTTTTTAAATAAATATTTTATTGATTTTTTTACAGAAAGGAAGGGAGATGGATAGAGAGTTAGAAACATTGATGAGAGAGAAACATTGATCAGCTGCCTCCCGCACACCCCCCAACTGGGAATGTGCCTGCAACCATGATGCATGCCCTTGACCGGAATCGAACCCGGGACCCTTCAGTCTGCAGGCCGATACTCTATCCACTGAGCCAAACCAGCTAGGGCTTGCTTTTCTTTCTTAACAAATTTCAGCTGTAATGTCACACTACCTTGAAGTTCTGGGTTGTCAAAATACAGATCAATGTTTTTCAAACTGTAGGTCACAACCTAGGAAATCAATTTAGTAGGTCTTGCTCGCAGTTTTAGGGAAAAATAATAGAAAAGATCAGAGCGCATCACACATAGTCAAAGTAAGTATCATTTCATGAAATTTTTATTTCACTTGTGTGATAATGAGTGTGTTTTGGTTTGCGATGTAAGCCTATTTTTTCCTGTGAGTTGTAGCGCATAATGTTTAAAAGTCACAGGATTTTAGTTTAAACTAAAGGAGAAACACATGAAGGAGAAAAACAAATGATCAGAAACAAATATATTGGTTGAGTATGGACAACTTTTTTGGAGAAGTTTGGCCGTGAGTGAGAAGTTAGGTTGATTGAAAACTGGCTCCAGAAACAAGAGGGAACCCACGTGAACCTTAAGTATCAGGACAGTGAGCATCAGAGGAGGAAGGCGAGGCGTAGCTTCGACTGCGGCAGGTGAGGGGGCGGCTGTGGGGGTCACAGAGAGAGCTAAAGATGAGAAATGGCTGAACCTGCATTAGTAAAGGCCATGGAATCCCTGAGAGCCCCGCTGGTGTGGCTCAGTGGCTGAGCGTCCGCCTATGAACCAGGAGGTCACGGTTCGATTCCCAGTCAGGGCATGTGCCCCGGTTGTGGGCTCGATCCCCAGTATGGGGCGTGCAGGAGCAGCCAATCAATGATTTTTTCCCCCTCATCATTGATGTTTCTATCTCTCCCTCCCTCTCCCTTCCTCTCTGAAATCATTAAAAAAAATAAAAAGACAACCCTGAGAAAAGACTACGTGGTTCTTGGCGCCATATCACGGGCAGCCCCAGGAAGAAAGGCCTTGCGCTTGGCGCAGAAGAGAGGTCAGCTGATGGTATGAGCACACATGCGGGAGGGGGAGTAACCCACAACTGGTGCTTCAGGGTCAGCAAAAGATCTGATTTTAGCCACAGGCCCGAGAGACTGTGATGGAACGAGTGCTGGAGTCCTCTTCACCTTCTCCCTGCTTTCTCAACACCACACACACACACACACACACACACACACACACACGCACGCACGCGCACACACACACACACACACACACATGCCCATCAGGACACATAGACTGTAGCTCCGTTTACTGGCTGGGCTTAGGCTTGGGCTTACGTCTAAAACCAGGGTGGGGCCCAGCCGGTATGGCTCCGTGGTCGAGCGGCGACCTATGAGCCAGAAGGTCACCGTTCAATTCCTGGTCAGGGTACATGCCCAGCTGTGGGCTTGATCCCCGGTAGGGGATGTGCAGCAGGCAGCAGATCAATGATTCTCTCTCTCATCCCTGATGTTTCCATCTCTCTCTCCCTCTCCCTTATTCTCTAAAGTCAATAAAAACATGTTAACACAGGGTGGCTAAGACCTTCTGCACCAGTGGCTGGGAGGTGTGCAGGCCCATCACGCTGCCCAGCTGTGGCACACCAGGAATGCTCAGGAGCCCAGAGCTGCCTTTGCCCCAGGGCCACACGGGGGCAGGGAGTTCTGGGGGAAGACTGAGCCACAGTGACCTGCCTGCCTCCTGGCCCGGAAGTCCCCGTCCCTCCAGCTTTCCCACGGAACCCCCAGGCAGCAGTTGGGTCTGCTCTCAGGCATGGCGCTCAGCAAGCCTCATAACAGGGAGGTGAGCCCAGGACACGTCACAGAGGATGGGGCACCTTCGCTCATGTCCTTGAGCAGGAAGGTTCTACTCAGGGTGAGGCCAGCGGCTGCGATGTTTACCCCATTCCAGGTGCGGGCTCCAGGCCTGTGTTGCTGGCCTTGGGCCTCAGGACCTGAAACTTGGGTCTGGGTCCTGCTGGGTTTTTGGCCAGGAGTCTGGCCTTCTACCATGCCCCAAACACACCTGCTCAGCCATGCAGATCTGCCGCAATGTTTGGAAAGACTTCAGCTCACTCAGGCCTCAGCATGTAAGGTTTTCTGTCGCTCAGCCGTCAAGCTGATGGTTGTGTGTCTTTCAATCCCTGGTTCAATCAGCACCTCTCCCAGAAAGCCTGCCCTGGGCACTCACCCCTCCCTGCATTGAGTTAGGTGCTTGTCTTCTGGGACCCTGTGTACCCCTGGTGCCTCTCCCTTCCACACTCTGTGCCTCGATGGCACTCTGAGCTTGCTTGGAGGTAGGTCCTGACACACAGTAGGTCCTACACAGCACCTGATACGCAATAGGTGCTCTGGTAGTGCTTGCTGAGTGGATGAACTCTTAAACCAGGCCTCACTCTTCTGCTCAGTGGCCCTGTTCTCGGAAGCCTCTGTTTGCCAGCAACCGAGCCATGCTGTGTTTTAGGGTTTAACCAGCAGGGGAGGCAGCCCACATGGGACAGGCACCCTGTTGTAAGACCCCAGCCACAGCCTGCAGGGTTTAACTCACCATCAGAGAATCTCAGGCACCTGTGCGTGATTTCAGCTGTTTAAATTCCATTTCCAAAGAGACAGTTTATTGAAGATTTTGGTATGAACGTGGTATAAAGGCAAATATTTTACTCACTCTTGTGCAAACATCTCAGCTCAAGCTGGGGGCACCAGTCTGACCACTACGCCAATCAGGGCCCAGGAGGGGCTGATAGACAACTAAAGCCCACAGACTCCGGCCTGCCCACCCTTCACTCCGCCCCCTCCACCCCGGCCCAGGCCTGGGATAAATGGAAGGGGAAGGCAGAGGCAGGTTCTGGGGCAAGACCCAGCCAGTCAGGATGGACATCTGTCCCTCGAGCCCCCTCCTCGACCAGTTCTGCTACTCCCTACCAAGGTAACAAACTCTTGATGGCCCCCAGTCCACTCCCCCTGCCATGGGGCCTAGGGGTCCATGGGGCCTTCAGAGCAGCAGGTGGAAGTGGGGACGCAGGGGGCACAGTAGCTGCATGGCTCCTGGAATGCCACCGGAAACCTGCACCGAATCGGGAGCCCCATGAGGCACGGCGGACTCAGGGAGGCGAGGCCCCTTCAGGCCCGGGGTGGAGGGCAAAGCTCTCAACACGATAAGGGGATGGGTCCCCTGGGTGTGTAACGTTGGTCCAAGTCATCGTCAAGGTCCGCCCACAAAAAGAACACCCTCAAAAATGGCAGGATAATCAAAACTACACTGAGATACCATTTGCCCCCCCCCCTCCCCTAGGACAGGTGGTAACAAGTGTTGGTGAGGATGTGGAGACCCTGAAACTCTCGCACATTGTTGGTGGGAGTGTCCAACGGTGCAGCCACTCTGGAAACAGTTGGGGGAGTCCTCAAAATGTGAAGTGTAGTTAGCACATGACCCACAATTCTAAGTCTATACCCCAAGTGAAAACATGCTCAGACAGCCCTAGCCGGTTTGGCTCAGTGAATAGAGCATCAGCTTGTGGACTCAAAGGTCCCAGGTTCGATTCCGGTCAAGGGCATGTACCTTGGTTGCGGGCACATCCCCAGCGGGGGGTGTCCAAGAGGCAGCTGATCGATGTTTCTCTCTCATCGATGTTTCTAACTCTCTATCCTTCTCCCTTCCTCTCTGTAAAAAAATCAATAAAACATTTTATAAAAAAGAAAGAAAACGTGTTCATACAGAGACTTGTAATGTGTAATAGCAGCTTTATTCATAATACCCCAACGCACAAGCAACCTACCTGTCCACCAGCGGGTGAGTGGATCAACAGCATGTGGTGTACACCCACGATGGAATACTATTCTGTCATGAAAAGGAATGACCATGCTGGAACGTCGATAAACCTTGGCAGCATCGTGCAAAGTGTAGGAAGCTGGTCACAAAAGACCGCAGCATGTCGCATGATTCAACATACGAAATGTCCTGAACTGGCACATTTAAAACTTAGGTTACTGGTTTCCAGGGAGTGGGGGGAGGCGGCAAGGGAGGAATGACCTCTAATGGGCACAGATCCTTGGGGCGGGAGGGAGGGAGGCGGGGTATGAAAATGTCCTGGAAATTGATCACGGTGAGGGTTGCACAACATTTGGGAATACACTACAAAACCACTACATTGGACCAAGGGTGGAATCTTATGGCATGCGGATGGTGCCTTTATTTTTTAAAAGAGGGAAAATGACGCCAGTGGAGGAGTTAGCGGAACTGAAACAATGAAACGGAGCGTGAGCGTCGCCCGTCCCAGCCGCGCGTCCAGATGAACTCGGAGCCCGGGAACGGTGCACCCCGAGGGGCAAGCAAGCGGCCCCGGAGGCAGGACCCAGAAAGACACCCGTCCCGGGATCCTAAGGGAACATCGCGGTCAGGGTGGGCGATCCCGACCCCGGGCCGCTCCGGACCGGGGCGGCTCCGAACCGGGGCGGCTCCGAAGTTGGCCGGGCGGAGCGGAGATTTAAAGGTCGGGGCGCAGAGGGGCCCTTAAAGGGGCCGCGTGAATTCCCAGTCTGCGTCCGCGGTAAAGCCTGCTCCGCGGTCCCGCGACTCCGCGGCTCGGACCCGGGTAAGTGCGCGGGGCCGCGGGGGAGGGAGGCGGCGGCGCTGGCCTGCTCCGTGGTCAGGCTCGCGCGCCCTCGCCGGATCGGATCCGGGGGAGTCCGCACGGGAGGCTAGCGCTTCGCGGGCCGCGCGTCCGGCGGGAGGGGGAGGGGGCGCCGGGGTTCGGGCGGGCCCCGGGGCGGGGGTCCCCGCTGGGGGCCCGGCTCCCCGCACCCGCCGCGCCCTGTGTTTAGTTGCAATAGGAGGAATGCGCCGCGCGGCAGGCGCTCGGGGCGCGCGGGCGGCGCGGGCGCTTTAAGGAGGCGCCGGGGCGGGGCGGGGCCCGGCCGCCGGCGGGCGCGCGGGCGGGAGCAGGAGGAGGCTCCCGGAGGCCGGAGCCCAGCCCGGGCTGCAGCGGGCGGCGGTGAGTGGCCGGGGCAGGCGGGGCCGGGAGGGGAGGGGATGGGGGAGAGGGGATGGGGGCCCCCGGCCGCGCGGCCCCCAGCCCGGGCAGGCGCTTTGTTCCGGGGCTGGAGGGGTGGCCGCGCGCTCCGGGCTGAATGCGCTCTGCTCCGGGGCGGCCGCTGAGCGCCTTTGGGCCCCCGCCCCGAGCGCCCGAATAACGGTGCGCGATCGTGAACTCGGCCGCGACCGGGACTCCGGTGGGGAAGGCCCGCCGGCCGCCCAGGAAGCCTCTGTTGTGATGACCGCACTTGGGCTCCTCGTTTGCCCCCGCGGGGTGGTGGGTGGTGGCGTGGAGTGGGGTGGGGTGGGGAGGGGTTGGTGGGGGCGCTTTCTCTCCTCCTAAAATGGCGTTAACGAGCGCTGGGACCCGCGGGAGGGGGTGTCAAATTGAGCTGAAGAATAAAAAACACCTTCTTCATAAACAACCCTTCCGTGCGCCCGCGCGGGGCTCTGCTCGCAGGTAGGGCTGGGCTCATTCATTGACCAGACCTGGCTGGGGCGGCCCCCCACCCCCCACCCCGGGTGTGGGGGGCACAGTGCCAGCTGCTGCTCCGCGGGGCAGGACCGGGAGCAATGAGCCACAGCCTGGCACGGTGGGTCCTGCCTGGGCTCCGGGAAGCTGGGGGTGTCTGGGAGCAGACAGTGTGGCAGGTCGGGGAAGGCCTGCTAGAGGGCTTGGCGCCTGGCAGGAGCCTGGGCACTGGACCCCCATTAGCCTGTGGCTGGACCCAGAGGTGTGTGCTGGCCGGGGACAAAGCTGTGTCTGGAGAGGTGGACCAGAGCCACTCCATCCTGGCCCTGGCCACAGAGCTCCGGGCCAGAGTGGCTCTTGCGGCTCCAGGACCCACCTCTGCCCCTGGACCTCACGGAGAGGGTGCCTGACAGGGCTGAGACGTGTGGCCTCGGAAGAGTGACCTTCCTGGCAGCAGGAGCGATAAGGAGATCGGACTTTGAAAACCCTGAGGCTCTGCTGAAATAGCAGCCCCCCGGGCTCACGGGGACGGCGCTAGCTCATCGTTGGAGGGGGCTCCTTCGGGGAGGTTTTAGGATCGCCCCGGAATGCAGGTGGTGGCCTGGGGCTGGAAGGGCCAATCACCCGCCCACGATCCTCCCTGAGATGGGGCTCCGGAGCGGGCAGCTGGGAGAGTCTGGCTCTCCTGGGCTGGGAGGCTCCAGGTGCAGCCTCTTTGTGCGTTTGCTCGGTGCACATCCTTCCGGGAGCTCAAGCGTGGGGCGGCGAGCTGTTTGTATTAGGAGCGGACACGTGTCAGGGGCTTCACTGCGAACAAAGCACTTTCACCGCCGAGACAGTTCGCAGACTTTCTCTTGCTCTTCGGAAGGGAGAGACTCGAGCTGGCTAACGTTCTGTAAGTCTCCCAATCTGCGAATTGCATGTCCCTGCTGAACGAGGGCTGAATATGTTTCAGGCCACAACTTTCACCCCATGGTCTGTTCTCAGGCCCAGCGGCCAGTCAGCCTCTCCGTCCGTCCGTCTGTCCGTCCATGGTTGATGGCGTCGTTTGTCCTTTCCCTGCCAGGGCAGGAGGTGTGGGGCTTTGATACTCTGGGGTTTTCAACGCTCCGGAGTTTGCCAGCCTCTTTATGGGGAGGAGGGGTGTGGAGTAAACCTGCTCTAGTGGGAAGTGCCCTTCCCGCAGTGGCCTTACTGGCCTTACGGAGAAGAGGGGGGGGGGGGGGCGCGTCAGGGCCCCTGCAGAGCCCTGTGAGGCAATCCGCCGTCTCCCAGCGGCGTTGCCAGCTTTGCTCCCGGCAGCATAAGGCAGTTTGTATTTTTCCACGGCTCATGTTTTCATCTACATAAGACATCTTTGTTACAGGCATAACTTTTATTTTATTGCTGGCTCTAGCCACAGATGTTTCATGCTTCCAGTGATGTGAGCTGCTTCTAAAGTGACCCATGTGTTACCCCTGGGGCGGCTTGCTGGGCTCCAGGGATCCTGGAACCGGGGGGAGGGAGCCGCTGGGCTCTGAGGGGCTGAACCGGCTCCGTGGTGACCGCTCTGCCATCCGTCAGCATTGCACGGTGGCCAGCCTGCTAGACTGAGTGCGTTCTGGGGGAAGTGCGACCTCCATTTTAAACTTCACATCTGGCGTGATCACTGCTCTGCCCGTGAAATGCCCCCAGATGGAGGGTGCCTCCCTGCAAGTGATTGAAAACATACCTGCTCACAGGCCTGGCGGCATTTATCCAAACCATATGCACGTGAGCCACGCGGGAGCACCTTCTTGTGCAAAGCCAGAATGTCCTGAAGTGTCTGCAGGGTGTGCATGGAGTCCCAGGAGCTCGGTACCGCCCAGGCCCAGGGCAGCGTCTGGCTGGCTAGACGGCACAGCTACCTTTGGATGGGGAGGAGCTCCCTGTGCCCCGGGGCATCTGGCAGGTGCCCATTCTCTTAGTTTTTTTAAAAAAAATATATTTTGATTTTTTTTACAGCGAGAAAGGGAGAAGGATAGAGAGTTAGAAACATTGATGAGTGAGAAACATCTATCAGCTGCCTCCTGCACTCCCCACCCCCCCCCGGGGATGTGCCTGCAACCAAGATACATGCCCTTGACCAGAATCAAACCTGGGACCCTTGAGTTCGCAGGCCGACGCTCTATCCACTGAGCCAAACCGGTTAGGGCAGTGCCCATTCTCTAGAGATGGAGCTTTGGGAGGAATTTTGTTGGTGGACTCGGAGGCCTTGCGAGCCCTCATAGTCTTGGATGATGTCACTGGGCCCTGTGATGCTGGATCAGTGGGGATGCTTTTTTTTTTTTTTTTTTTTTTTTTTTGGAATAAAACCCAAGTATTAGTTTATTAAGCAGCCTTTAGATCTCCCAAAGATGCTCTCAGCTCATGTGAGGTCTATATACACAGGGATTGGAGTGGATATTAGTGCCACGTCCAGCAAGTTCTTACGTGGAACAAGCAGTCAAGGAAACTGAGGGTCTGAGTGCAGAGCCTCTTAAATAGGCCAGTGAGAAGCCGAGAGGAAAGTCGCTCAGATGTACAGAGTTGGGCGTACAATTCAGAGGACTCACGGATCTCTGAAAACGAGGGCTGGGTCCCCTGCTGTACGCCATGCTATGTCAGGGCTGTTTACGTAGGACTCACTGCGTCCCTCTGCCTTCTCACCAGGCCAGCATGCCTCCGTGTTGGAGGCGGTGTCAAGAATGAAAACAGAGTGGACAGTTGTCCGTTCTCAGCCCGAGTTGAAGTCTATACAGTCCGCCAGCGGGTCTGTCCTGCAGAACTGACCATAGGGCAGTGCTGCCGCCGCCTCAGGCCTCCGACAGGCCATGGCTGCGCTCCTTGGTACCTGCCATGCATTCCTTGTGCTGTCTCCAGCCTTCTGGGGAGCTGGGAGCTCTGAGCTCTGGTTCCGTGCCTCGGTGACTGACTACAGGGCCTTGAAGTTGTCCTGCCTATTCTCAGAGACCCCACCCCCTGGCCTTCCTGGGCCTGGCATCCACCACTGAGCCCCTAGGCCCTTTTTACCCTGTTGGCATGATCCAAGGTGGCGTTCTGCAGCCCTCTCTCTGGCAAGGGGCCCCACAGGAGCCGTGTTCTTTAGAACTCATTGTCCTGTGGTATCATTGGCAGCTTACTGGGCGAGGCCTGCTGATGGCCAATAGCCAGGTGACAATATGGGTCATTACTGGCCGCTGAGGTAACATCCTGGGTCTCACAGGGGCATATTCTCATCAAGAGAGCCTGGCACGGGTCTGTCTACCGTGTTTCCCCGAAAATAAGACATCCTCCGAAAATAAGACCTAGCGCATGGAAAGATAAGACATCCCCTGAAAATAAGACCTAGCGCAACGTTGGGAGAAAAAAATTAATATAAGACACTGTCTTATTTTCGGGGAAACAGGGTACATTTACACCTAATGTTTTGCTGACGAGGTTTTGGGGAGCACCAGGGAAGACCTTGGGGAGCACCAGGAAAGGATTTGGCTGTGCGGCATGTGGGATGAAGGAGGGTGGGGTGGGGTGGGGTGGGGCGCTGGGAGCTCTGAGCTCTGGTTCCGTGCCTCTGTGACTGACTATAGGGCCTTGGGCGGGCCCTGTGCTGCCGGGGCCCAGGCACCATCTGTGACTCTTCGGCTGAGCCCTCAGGGTTGTCATGGGGATTAGATGAAATACACAGATGAGCACATGCTTGGGAAACCAGAAAGGGTTCTAAAGACGGAGAGCATTATCAGCATTCGAGCCACCTTCAGATAATAGACGGATGGCCCCGGCGGGCCCCCCGGAGCCTGTGTGGGCGGGGTTCAGACCAGAGAGCGTGTGTCTCCGTGGGGAGCGGGGTGATCTTAGGTGGGCTGCAGACAGCTTTTATTAGTTAGATCCTTGTTTATGCATAAAAAATGCAGGCGTCACTTCAAACCTTTTTTTTTTTTTAATGGATATTTAGCTCCGACCAAGGCTGAAGGAAGGTTTTTAAGTGACCCCTTGAGTTCAGGCTGGGAAAGTTCCAGCAGGGAGGCCCTCCCTGCAGTGCAGCCTGTGGGGCCTCAGCTGGACCCTTCCAGAGACCGGGAGCTTGTTGCCCA